ATTACCCTTTTTTTATATAGGATCTAGAGGCCTGGTGCACGGGTGGGGGCCGGCTGGTTTGCCCTGAAGGGTGTCCCGGATCAGGGTGGGGATCCCGCTTGGGTGCCTGGCCAGCCTGGATGAGGGGCTGATTGCTGTTTGCAGGCTGGCCAAGACCCCAGCAGGGACCCTCCCCATGAGGGTGTGGCCACCCTGGGTGAGGGGCTGATGGCTGTTTGCCAGCTGGCCACAGCTATCCCAGGCCAGCGGGAAGCTTGGCTTCCTCCATCGCTGGGGCAACCAAGCCTCCTGCTTGCTCCAGCTGCCTGCCTGCCAGCCGCCATCTTGGTTGGCAGTTAATTTGCATATCGCCCTGATTACCCAATGGGAAGTATATCGGAGGTACAGTTAATTACCATGTTTGTCTATTATTAGATAGGATAAGTAGGAGAGGTGAACTCCCACCCCGTCTGTGACAGGGGACCCCAGGGATGGAGCAAACCTGCACCTGTTTAGGGCAGTGGGACACCCACGTTGTTTTAGAAGAATTTGCTCTTTCTAAAGACACTAAGATACTCCTGAGAAAATTCAGAATTTAGTTGGACTTTTTAACATCTATTTTTTTAATTTAATTTAATTTATTAATTTTTTTAAATTTTCTTTTATTGCTTAAAGTATTACAAAGAGTAGTACATATGTCTCCTTTTTCCCCCCTTGACCTTCCCTGGCCTCCCCTATTCCCCAGTGTCTTGTGTCCATTGGTTATGCTTATATGCATGCATACAAGTCCTTCGGTTAATCTCTTACCTCCTGCCCCAACCGTCCCCAGCCTTCCTGCTGTAATTTTTTTTTTTATTGCTTAAAGTATTACAAAGGGTATTACATATGTGTCCATTTTTTTCACCTGCCCTAGACAGTCCCCTAGCCTCCCCTATCCCCCAGTGTCTTATGTCCATTGGTTATGCTTATATGCATGCATACAAGTCCTTTGGTTGATCTCTTACCCCCCTACCTCCTGCCCCCCAACCCTCCCACCACCAAATTTTTTTAAAAGTTGTAACATATTTCAGTCACACAGAACCGTCTGTATATATATTATATATGCATGTACTCACA